TGTCTGGGGCCTCGGAATAAGAACCTGAAAAACGACTAAGTATGCAAAGAAAAAAAAGAAAGTTCAAAGCTGTATTTTTCGGTGAACGCAACGAAGGGCCTAGGGAGTAGGGAGAGAGATAGAAAAAACAACTTAGTATGCAAAGAAAAAAAAGAAAGCTCTACGCTGTATTTTTCGACGAACGCAAAGAAGCACCTAGGACGTAGGGAAGGGGACAGAAAAACGACAAAGTATGCAAAGAAAAAAAAGAAAGCTCCTGGCTGTATTTTTCGTCGAACGCAAAGAAGGGCCTAAGGTGTAGGGATAAGAACAGGAAAAACGATTAAGTATGCAAAGAAAAAAAAGAAAGTTCTGGGCTGTATTTTTCGGCGAATGCAAAGAAGGGTCTAGGGCGTAGGGATAGGCATAGGAACAGGAAAAACGACTAAGTATGCAAAGGAAAAAAAAAAGTTATAGACTGTATTTTTCGATGAATGCAAAGAAGGATTTAGGGTGTAGGGATAGGGATAGCAACAGGAAAAACGACCAAGTATGCAAAGAAAAAGAAAAAAAAGTTATAGGCTGTTTTTTTCGGCGAACTAAAAAAATAGCCTAGGGCATAGGGAGTGGGATGGGAAAAACGAGTAAATATGCAAAGAAAAAAAAGAAAGCTCTGGGCTTTATTTTTCGGCGAATCTAAAGAAGGGCCTAAGGCTTAGGGAGAGGGAGAGGAGAAACGACTAAGTATGTAAAGAAAAAAAAGAAAGTTGTGGGTTGCATTTTCGGCGAACGCAAAGAAGGGCCAAAGATACAAGGAGACGGACAGGAAAAACGATTAAATATGTAAAGAAAAAAAAAAAACCTCTGATTGTATTTTTCGGCGAACGCAAAGAAGGACCTAGGGCGTAAGGAGAGAGACAAAAAAAATGACTAAGTATGACAAAAAAAAAGAGAAAGCTCTGCACTGTATTTTTCTGCGAACGCAAAGAAGGACCTAAGGCGTAAGGAGGGGGAAAGAAAAAAACGAGTAAATATGGAAAGAAAAAAAAGAAAACCTTCAGCTGTATGCAAAAAAAAAAAAAAAACTTGAGTTGTGTTTTTCGGCGAACGCAAAGATGAGTCTAGAACGTAGGGAGAGAGAATGAAAAAATGAGTAAATATGCAAAGAAAAAAAAGAAAACTTTAAGCTATATTTTTCGGCGAACGCAAAGAAGAGCCTAGGACGTAGGGAACGAGACAGAAAAAGGACTAAGTATACAAAGAAAAAAAAGAAAACTCTGGGCTATATTTTTCAACCAACGCAAACAAGGGCATAGGGCGTAGCGAAAGGGACAGAAAAACGATGAAGTATGCAAAGGAAAAAAAGAGAGCGCTTGGCTGTAACTGTATTTTTCGGCGAACGCAATGAAGGGTCTAGGACGTACGGATAGGAACAGAAAAACAACTAAATATAAAACGAAAAAAAAAAAAAGCTATGGGTTGTATTTTTTGGCAAACGTAAAGAAAGGTCTAGGGCGTAGAGATAGGCATAGGAATATGAAAAACGACAAAGTATGCAAAGAAAAAAAGAAAGCTAAAGGTTGGATTTTCGGCGAACGTAAAGAAGGGTCTTAGGCGTAGGGATAGGGATAAAAATAGAAAAAACCATTGAGTATGCGAAAAAAAAAAAAAGCTCTGGGCTGTATTTTTTGGCGAACGCAAAGAAGGGTTTAGGGCGTAAGGAGAGGGACAGGAAAAACGACTAAGTATGCAAAGAAACAAAAGAAAGCTCTAGAATGTATTTTTTTGCGAACGCAAAGAAGGGCCTATGGCGTAAGAAGAGAGACGGAAAAAACGAATAAGTATGCAAAGAAAAAAAAGAAAGCTTTGGGCTGTATTTTTCGGTGAACGCAAAGAAGCGCCTAAGGGGTAGGGAGAGGCACAGGAAAAACAACTAAGTATGTAAGGAAAAAAAAAAAACTCTGAGCTGTATTTTTCGGCGAACACAAAGAAAGACCTAGTATGCAAAGAAAAAAAAGAAAGTTCTGGACCGTATTTTTCAGCGAACGCAAAGAAGGGCTTGGGCGTAGGAAGAGGGACAGAAAAAATGAGTAAGTGTGCAAAGATAAAAAAGAAAGCTCTGGCTGTATTTTTCGGCGAACGCAAAAAAGAGCCTAGGGCGTAGGGAAAGGGAGAGAAAAACGACTAACTATGCAAAGAAAAAAAAGAAAGCTCTGGGCTATATTTTTCGGCGAACGCAAACACGGGCCTAGGGCGTAGGGAGGGGGACAGGAAAACCAACTAAGTATGCAAAGAAAAAAAAGAATGCTCTTGGCTATATTTTTCGGCGAATGCAAAGAAGCGCCTAGGGCGTAGGGAGAGGGACAGGAGAAACGACTCCGTATGCTGAAACAAAAAAAAAGCTCCTGGCCAGGATCACCAGCCCGTACGTACGAAGGTCCCTGGGCAGACTGTCGTACGTACGGGCGTTAGGGTCCAGTACGGGGTCCGAACTTGACTGCGTTCGGCCCCCACCAAAAACTATTTCGGGGCCTAAAAATAACGTTGTTTTTCTGAATTTTGTTTTGTGAGTTCTCTAGGACATGAGGGACATGCATTTAAATTTTCAAGTCATTTGGCTAAGCCAAATTAGAATTAAAAATCGCCAAAGATGGCGGTCTCAAAACGAGCTCGCCCACGTTTGTTTTCACTTTTTACTTTTTGTTTTCATTTTAATTCAGGGTCTAAACAATTTTATTATTTTTCTAAACTTTTTTAGTGGGTTTGCATTATGTGAAGTACACCTCTGTAAATTTTCAGGGCATTTAGATATGCCAAACAAAAATGAAAAATCTCCAAACATGGCGGGGTCGAAAACGTGCTCGTGCATTCGTTAAATTTAATTCTTTTTTATTTTTTATTATTTTTTTTATTAGTATTTGTTTTTTATATTTTATTTTTATTTCAAATTTGGTAATGAATTTGAATGTAATACTCAGGCAAATCTTGCTCAATTTATTTTTCTTCATAACATAACTATTTTTTAGAGTTTTTTTTTTTTTTTTTTTTTTTTCCACGTTCGGCCCGAATGGTCGAACACATCCCCAAGGGGTCCCATACGTGCGGGCGTTCGGGTTCGGGTGTTCGGCCCGTCCCAAACGTCGGTTACCCTGCTCCTGGCTGAATTTTTCGGCGATCGGAAAGAAGGGTCTAGAACAAAGGGAGAGGGACAGGAAAAACGACTAAATACGTAAAGAAAAAAAAAGAAAGCTCTGGACTATATTTTACGGCGAACGCAAAGAAGGGCCTAGGACGTAGGGAGAGAGACAAAAAAAACGAGTAAGTATGTAAAAAAAAAAAAAAAAACTCTGGGTTGCAGGGTTACCGGCGTTCGGGACGGGCCGAATGCCCGAACCGGAACGCCCGAACGTACGAAACCCCTTCGGGAGGCGTTCGGTCGTTCAAGCCGAACGCGGACCCAAAAAAAAAAAAAAAAAAAAAAAAAACCGTTTTCAAACAATTTCGAAAAACAACTATGCTATGAAGAAACATAAACTAAACAACATTTGCCTGGGCACTACATCCAAATTCTTTACCAATTTTGAATTAAAAATCCAATACATTAAATAGACACTATGATAAAAATAAGAAAAAATAAAAAGAGAATTAAAATGAGTGAGTGTGCCAACACCTTTTCAACACCGCCGTCTTTGCCGATTTTTAATTATTTTTTTGGCATTGACAAATGCCCTGAAAATTTACAGATATGTAGTTTGCATAATCAATAACTCATTAATTTTTTTTCAAAAACTCATAAAATATTTTAGGCCCCGAAATAAAGTGAAAACAAAAAGTTAAAAGTGAAAAAAAACAAAATAGTGAGTGGGCGAGCATGTTTTGACACCCCCATCTTTGGCAATTTTTAATGTTTTTTTAACTTAGAAGAATGGCTTCAAAATTTATAGGCGTGTAGTTTACATCATAGAGAACGCACAAAAAAACATGTAGAAACAAAAGCTTATTTTTAGGCCCCGAAATATTTTTTGGCGGGGGCCGAACCTGGAGGTGTTCGGCCCCCGAACGGGACCCCGAACGCCCGAACGCCCGAACGTTCGAGGGCCAGCACGGGGCCCCCCGAACGTTCGATCAGGAGACCCTGGTGGGCTGTATTTTTTGGCGAACGCAAAGAAGGGCTTAGAGCGTAGGGAGAGGGATAGAAAAAACGACTAAGTATGCAAAAAAAAAAAAACTCTTAGCTGTATTTTTCGGCGAACGTAAAGAAGGGCGTAGGACATAGGGAGAGGGACGGGAAAAACGATTAAGTATGCAAAGAAGAAAAAGAAAGCTCTAGGTTTAATTTTCTGCCCTCGTAGAACAGACTTGGTTTTGATGGTTTAGGATTTGATGAGTTTGGATAAGGTTGATCACTTGTCTTTGCTTTTTTAATTTTGATTTGTTTTTTTGTTTTGTTTTTTGTTTTGTTTTTTGGTTTGTTTTGCACCTCGAGCTGTTGACGCGGTTCGAACCGACGTCCGTTGCTTGGACCGGTCAGTCCGACGGAAGTTCGATTCCGGTTCGAGAATCATCTGAGTTGTTCATTTTCTCTGTAGTTTCAGACCTAGGTGTTATTCTGGAGGTTTCTCATACGTATGTGGCTTGACGGACAGTCCCACCTCGGTGGAGGGGGACCTGCCCGACCGAACTTTGCTGTGGACTATAAGTACGTAGACAATAGCGGTAGTAGACCTCCTGGGTTCCCGCGGCGTCTGGTGACCGTGACGACGGCGTACTACCGCCCGGGGTGTCGTGTGGAAAGCGGTGGTTCTTGGGCATGTTGGACTGAATTGTGGTAACCCTCTGGTTTCATCGTTCATCTGTCTGCTGTCACTACGGTGACTGTGTGCTTTCACTCCGTGTTTATCACTTTGTGTTAGTTTCCACCGTGTTCGAACCACCATCATAATCATTTACAACATGCGTCAACTTATCTGGGGAAGTCTACCAGATTCAAGTGAGCGATATTAATTTGCACCGAGGATACGCTGTCGATTGAAAAAGCGGCTGTTACTGAGTGAAGGGGAGGAGCGAAGAGTACGACACCAGCTCTGGTGGACCCCTGTCAAGTTGGTAGTGCGGAGGAGATTCGAAGAAGTTGATCAAGACGCATCGAAGATGTCGAGTTTTGAACGTTATAATGATGACAGAGATAGACGACCTTATAGGTCGTCGTTGAAGTGCTTCAATTGCAATGAACCGGGCCACTATGCCAATCAGTGTCCCCATCGGGACCGACGGTACAGCTCAAGTCGGCCGTCTACCTCGTCAGATTCGAGGCGGTCACGTTCGCCTCGGAAGTTTGAAGCTCAGCGGAATGAGTTCTCACCAAGGAAAGGAGTTGAACTTCGTGACCAAGTGGCAGAGTTGACCAAAGGTGTGGCCACCATCAAGGAACACTTTGACCTAGTGCGGGCGAAGAAAGAAGAAAAGGCTCGTCATAAATTAGAGAAGGAGCGAGGGAAGGAGGAGGAGAGACTAAGAAAGGAAGAAAAGGAAGCCAGACTAGCACAAGAAGAAGCACGTCGCGAAGCGAAGAGACTGGAGAAAGAAGCGAAGGCGAAGCAGGAAGCCATTTTGAAAGCAGAAATGAAAAAGGATGTTACCATGCACGCAACTATGCTAATGAGTGAGATCAAAGATGATTGGATCAAGCAGTGGAAGACCTCTGTTCTTCCATCACTTGCAGGTGACGGAGGGGACGTCAAAGGAAAAAAGCAAGTTAGATATGAGGCGAAGGAGGATAGCGGGACGGGATACAGCAGTGAGGGGAGTGAGACTAGTGTGACACAGGAAATAAGCGAGAAGACTGAGCGGCTAATTACGGAGAAGAGAAAGAGAGTTGAGGATACGTCGATCGCAGACAGTCCTCCCATGGAGACCCCGGGGAAACGTACTCCTCGTCGGGAATGTGGAGAACAAAGCCGCCGTGTGACCCGAGCAAGGACCAAGGGAGCCCGGACTCCGATTCCTGCGAAGAAGCGGTCCCCTATCAAGACTCCTCTGCCGAAGCTTACCAAGAACCGCAAGCAGTCCCCTCCCAGCGGGAGGCTGACACCTGCTAGCAAGTCATTGACACGTCTGCGCTTTCGTGATGCCGTTATGAAAGAACTGAAGGATTGCAATGCCGACGAACTTCAGCGATACTGCAAAAAAGAGGGTATCTTGTACGCCGGTAAGATCGATGTTATCTTCGATCTTGTCGAGCATCGGGCTCAGGTGCAGTTTCCAAGCTTCGTCCCAGCTTCGGAAGTGATCCGTATCTGCAATTCGATTGATGAAGGAGCCGTTTCTTCCACGGAGAACCTGGAGTGATGTGGCATCCCTTCCGCCAGTTGGTTGAAAGTTTGTAGATATATCACTGGTAAGCGTTGCTATCAGGTTTTTACCGATCGGAATTTAAAGAAACTCTTGCGTAATCGTTGTGCTTTTAGCTTTGACTAATCGGGTAAGGTGGTTGCAGAGGTATGTGGGGTCCTAATGCGATTGTATGAGCAATTCGGGATTGAGTTTTTGGATAAGGAGGGGATTGTTTATATTGCAGTATCCCCCTACTGTAAACTCCGCTATGTTGGAAAGACGAATCGTACCTGCGATGTCAGATGGCATGAGCACCTTTATGTTGTTCGGAAGCGAACACAGTCCCACTTCCATCGCTGGTTATCTTCTTTTGGTGTAGGCAATTACGTAATGCTCCCAGTAGACGTGTTCGTTGGGAACGATTTGAGTAGACTGGAGGAGTTATACATCAGTAGGTGGTCCCCTTTCCTCAATTTTGTTGGTACTAAGGCCTCTAAGAAAGTGGGGAAGAAGAAACCCGGACGGAATGAAAGAAGTCGAGGTACGAATAGTGTGTCACATAATCATATTGTCAAACCGGTTCGTTTTCACTATATTGATAAGGATCGTGACTTCCTTGAACTCTATGCATTTCTAGATACTTCCCTTGTCTCCGGTAACCTTCCCCAACGGATTAGATCGGAGGGAGGTGCTGATTGGACCCCTAAATGGAAGAAATTGTCTCGCATGTTTGGGGAAAGTAAGGTAAAACATGACTCTGTTTGCCGACCGCTGAAGGATTGTAAAGAGCCGTTGGAGAAGGGTGGTGAGTTTGAGATTTTGCATATGGTGAAATGGAAAGCTAAGTGCAAGTATTTGAAGAAGCTTCTAATCCGTATTTTGTGAAATCCAAAAAAGCTGAACGATATCTACAAATGGGGAATGAATGTCATCCTTAGATTATACCGTGTGATTAAAGACTTCTCTAAGATGTCTACCCGTAAGTACTTACGAAGTTGATCTCTCGCTGCTTTCGGGATCGTTTTAATCTGAGTTTGGCTTCTGACCTTACCTTTCGGATTAAATATGATGATCGTGTTGTGATTTCTGAAGTTAGGAAGGTGGTTAATGATGCACTGATGAAATGTGAGTTACAACGTTGCTTTGTTCTTCGCGTAAGGAGAAAAATTTGTATCGTGGGGACTAAAAATCCTACGATTGCTGATATGTTGCATAACCATAGAAGAGCTTCTTCATATAGTGTGCTTACCTGTAACTGTACTGGTATGATTTTCCCTCACGTGAATGGCCATGTGTTGTTCCGACTAAGTGAGGTAGCTGACCTGCACCCACTTTTGTCAAACGCGAACAACGTACTTATAGTTCAGCGTGAAAATCGACTCAGTCTCCTTCGTGAAGAGATCAGTGCTGGTTTTCGGTGCTGGAAGAATCTGAACGGGCTTGTTCCCGATTTTTCCGATTTGGACTTGTCCGCATGTATTTCGAAAGGGGAATGTGTTACCCACTGTGTCTCAACGAAGGAAGTGCTAACCCTGAAGGAACGATGGGATGGTCTGGGAATTTCTCCGGTTGATAGGAATCCGGGTGAGTCCGTGGTAATGTGCCCCGGAACTTACTACGAAGCCATGATGCAGTCTTTTGTATGCAACCCTGGCTACCGTATCGTTAATATTTCCGAGACCGAGGCCATACGTGAACTGAGAGAGGACGTGTGTCGACAGGGACTGAGTAAGGTAGTCCAATGGGACTCCAAGGGGACGTTGGGCTCTGCCTACGTTATCCCAAAACACAAAGACATGTGTCGGTACAGGCCGATTTGTCCATCATTCAGCGAACCAATGGTTCGCACGGCTCGCCTGATGAGCAAAGCACTGAACCACCTGCTCTATAATTTACCAAAAAAGTGGCATTTTAATTTGAGATCGGTTTCTGATCTGACGATGAGCCTGGATGGTATAAACAGGAAATTGAGCAAGTTGAGCGGTGAACGGGTAATTTCTTCTTACTCCTTTGACGTTAAGGAGATGTTCAGTAAATTACCTCACAACACTCTGTTACGAGCAGTTGAGTGGATTGTGGATCACTTATGGACCAAGGGCGTCGAGTTAGTTCGTGTTACCACTCGGGGGAAGGGAGTAACCTTTGGAATCATCACATGCGCTGACCATTGGAAAAAGTTGAAGTTGATGGACATCTTGAAATTTTTTCATATTGAGGTTGAACATACGTTTTGTTATGCAACGGGGGTCCTGTTAAAGCAGGAACTAGGCGTTCCCATGGGCAAGAGCATGAGCCCTCCCATTGTGTGCATTATGTGTGCATATTTGGAATACCAGATGACCCTTAACCTGGGACGACTGAGCAGCAGTTTTGGCGCACAGAGATTGGTTAATGATATTCTTTAGGTAATTTCCAGTAAGAACGAGACCATGAGAGCTTCAATTTTCGAAGCCCTTATGCATTGTTACCTGGACAACCTGACACTAAAGAGGACTGACGATGGGACAGGAATTCTTGATTTCCTGGGTTGCCAAATCCGCACTAAGCAGAATTTTCCCTATCTGGGCAGTGTGTAGTTATCCAGAAACGAATCGAGTATCTGGAAGGAGGAACCTTTGAGGATTCAGAATGGACAATCTTTTTACTCATGGGGGAGTAAAAAGCAGAAGAGTGCAGTGATAGGGAGTCACTTGCACCGTATCGATCAGAGCACGTCAATACGATCTGAGATACCAGGGAAAGTGTTGGGGCTCCAACAAGAGTTGATTAAGAAGGATTTCCCAGAGAAGTTTGTGAACAAGGTCTTTCGACGATTCGGTTGTAGACGTGACGGATTATGGAGGAAGACGATGGATCTGATCAGTGATACCTGAAGCAGGCCTTGTGGACACATAAGTTTTTCAAAGGAGGTTCGCCGACATGCGACGGGCTGATCAGAGTTCGATCACTTGGCTGAGCGTTTTCATAGTGTAGGATCTGGCTGTGTCTAAACAGGGTTTAAGTTTCTGCCCTCGTAGAATAGACTTGGTTTTGATGGTGTAGGATTTGATGAGTTTGGACATGATTGATCACTTGCCTTTGCTTTTATAATTTTGATTTGTTTTTCTGTTTTTTTTTTTTTTTTTTTTTTGGTTTGTTTTGCACCTCGAGCTGCTGATCCGGTTGGAACCGACGTCCGTTGCTTGGACCGGTCAGTCCGACGGAAGTTCGATTCCGGTTCGAGAATCATCTGAGTTGTTCCTTTTCTCTGTAGTTTCGGACCTAATTGCTATTCTGGAAGTTTCTCATACGTATGTGGCTTGACGGACAGTCCCACCTCGGTGGAGGGGGACCTACCCGACCGAACTTTGATGTGGACTGTAAGTACAATAGCGGTAGTAGACCTCCTGGGTTCCCGAGGCGCCTGGTGACCGTGACGACGGTGTACTACCGCCCGGGGTGTCGTGTGGAAAGCGGTGGTTCTTGGGCGTGTTGGACTGAATTGTGGTAACCCTCTGGTTTCATCATTCATCTGCATACTGTCACTACGGTGGCTGTGTCCTTCTACACTGTGTGCTTTCACTCTGTGTTTATCACTTTGTGTTAGTTTCCACCGTGTTCGAACCACCATCATAATCATTGTATTTTCCGGCGAACGTAATGAAGGGCCTAGGGCGTAGGGAGAGGGACTCGAAAAACAACTAAGTATGCAAAGAAAAAAAAAAAAGTTCTAGGCTGTATTTTTCGGTGAACACAAAGAAGGGCCTACGGCGTAAGGAAAGGAACAGGAAAAATGACTAAGTATGCAAAGAAAAAAAAGAAAGATTTGGGCTATGTCTTTAGACGAACGCAAAGAAAGGTGTAGGGCGTAGGGAGAGAGAAACGTTATACGAACAAAATAAAAAAAACTCTGAACTGTATTTTTTAGCGAACGCAAAGAAGGGCCTAGGGCGAGGGAGAGGGACAAAAAAAACGACTAAGTGTGCAAAGAAAAAAAAAGTTTTAGGCTGTATTTTTCTGCAAACGCAAAAAAGGGTTTAAATCGTAGGGAGAGGGACAGGAAAAACGACCAAGTATACAAAGAAAAAAAAGAAAGCTTTGGGCTGTATTTTTCGGCGAACGTAGAGAAGAGCCTAAGGCAAAACGAATAAATATGAAAAAACAAGAAAGAAAGCTCTAAGCTGTATTTTGCTCGACGAACGCAAAGATGGGCCTAGGGCTCAGGGAGAGGGATGGAAAAACGACTAAGTATGTAAGAAAAAAAAAGAAAGTTTTTGGTTGTAAGTTTCGACGAGCACAAAAAAAGGCCTAGGGCATAGGGGAGAGGGACAGGAAAAACGACTAAGTATGTAAAAAAAAAAAAAAAAGTTTTGGGTTGTATTTTTCGACGAACGCAAAGAAGGGCCTAAAACGTAGGAAGACGGACAGGAAATACGATTAAGTAAAAAAAAAAAAAAAAACTCAGATTGTATTTTTCGGCGAACGCAAAGGACCTATGGCGTAGGGAGAGAGACAGGAAAAACGACTAAGTATGAAAAGAAAAAAGAGAAATTTTTCGACGAGCGCAAAGAAGAACCTAGGGCGTAAGGAGAGGGACAGAAAAAGCGAGTAATTATGTAAAGAAAAAAAAGAAAACCTTGAGCTGTGTTTTTTGGAAAACGCAAAGATGGGTCTACAACATAGGGAGAGGGAACGAAAAAATGAGTAAGTATGCAAAGAAAAAAAAAAAAAACTTTAGGCTATATTTTTCGGCGAACGTAAAAAAGGGCTTAGGGCATAGAGAGAGAGAGACAGGAAAAATAACTAAGTATGCAAAGAAAAAAAAGAAAGGTCTGGGCTATATTTTTCGACGAACGCAAACAAGGGTATAGGGTGTAGGGAGAGGGACAGAAAAACGACAAAGTATGCAAAGAAAAAAAAGAAACTTTCTGGCTGTATTTTTCAACGAACGCAAAGAAGGTCTAGGGCGTACGGATAAGAACAGGAAAAATGACTAAATATACAAAAAAAAAAAAGAATGCTCTAGGCTGTATTTTACGGCAAACGAAAAGAACGGTCTAAGGCGTACGAATAGGCATACGAACATGAAAAACGACAGAATATG